TAAAAAAATGACAAATTAAAAGTGACACTTGTAAAATAAAAATGGCGAATTAGTAAAAAATTCAAAAAATTTTAAAATTTTATGAAAGCTGAGATAAGATAGTGATTATAGTGAAAAAAACAAATAAATTGTTCAACTTATGAAGTTACAATACGTTTTACAAAATGTTGTACATTTTCAATTAATTTTATTGAAGAATCACATTTTTTCAGTTGTGTCACTTTTTAAGCGGGAGTGCGATATATATGCTTAAACTATAACAAAATTCAAACCTCTAAGAGTCTCTAAAAAAAAATGTCTACACAATGAAAATTAAATAAAGTGGAATTTCTTTAGATTCATGATATCTATGCATTTTTATTACGACATATTACTTAATAAATAGTACTTAGAACAAATGTAACTTACTCATGTCTGTTGGTTGATCCATTTTTGATTTAGCAAAAAACAATTACATTTATACTCATGAAATAACGACAACGGACAAACTAAAATGAAAGCTATGTACGAATAATAAGTGATTGCGCTGAATGCAATAATCTTAAGTACATTACCTACTCCTATCAGCTCATTAATTAACAATTATTACATAATGTGATATATTTACCATCGTCATATCAGTGGGTGCAAATATTTTCAGTATTAATCGTTAATTACAATACCTAAATTTTCTATTTTTGGCCAGCTAGAACTCGTATTCCTCCCACTGTGGGGCCCCGCAAAACCTAGTGCCGGCACTGGCAGTAGTGAATGCACTAATAGTTTATAACTTAAATACGCCACAGAATAAACTAAAGATAACGCAATGTGAATTATTAGTAAACGAATTGCTTGGATTTAATCAACCAGAACAGTACCAAACTTCACCAGAGCTGTCTATAAGACGACGTACAAAACACATTTTTGTACAAACTCCGTTAAGATGCAACAGACACCGAAGCTGCGAAAGAGGTGTGTTCATTGTTACAACAAAAAAACGACTACTGTAGGATCAGTACAGTCCTGCAAAGACCTGAAAAAGATAACAACTCTATGCGAAACATGTAATGTTTACACGTGTGCTGATTGTTTTGTCAAACACCATTCAAAATAAACTATACTATTAAGTGTTTTAAATTTTAAATTTAAATTTGAAGTTAAAATAATTTATTTTTATTAGGACCTTGTTTTTTAATTTTTTTTTAATAATTCTTTATTTAAAAAGATGTTTATTTTTTGTTTGTTTTAATAGTTCATTATTAAAAGTGGTGTTTGTTTTTTTTTGTTAATTTAGTATTAAAATTTATCTATTTAATAAAATAAAGGTTTTTTTTAAAATAGTATGATTTTAACATTTTTATTGAATAAAATAAAGATTAAATATGATACGAAATTAATAATTATTATTATTATTAAAATATTTATAGATACTTATTTGAGTAACAATATAACTATGAAATAACCTTGTACAAGGGTAAATAATATACCAACCGAAAAGTAATTTTCAGTTCTACGCCATGAAATAATTATAGAACAGTGGCGCAACCAAAGGGGGGGTCCCCGGGTCCAGACCCCCCCCCCCCTTGAGTATTTATAAAATGGAACATTTTTTAATTAATTTGGGAATATAATAATATATTGTAAGTATAATAAATTTTATTTGGCGTTATTGAGATTTTTCCTTAAGGCAACTGCTACATCCGGCGATGAAAGTTTTATATTAGCAAGAGAAAATTGTGGTAGAAATGCACAATACATAAGTTGGAAAATACAAAATGAAATTGTTAGCATTTGTTATGAAATTATTTCATCAAAAATTGTAAATAGAATTAATGAAAGTAATTTTTTTTCAATAATAGCGGACTAAACCTCTGATATATCGGGTACTGAACAGTTTGCTCTATGTGCCCGTTATTATGATAAGAAAAACAAAAATATTCGTGAAGATTTTTTAAAATTTATTCCAGTACATGATGTGAGTGGTAAAAGTTTAGCGAATCATATAATTACTGAATTAAAAAAATTGAATGTCGATGTAAACAATCTACAAGATCTTGTGAAATCAGAAATTTTACTATGGAATCGTTATCTAGATGATAGTAACATTAAAACAAAAAATGCCATCAACATATTGAATAATTACAATTCAGATTTATTTCCAAATGTTTTTAAGCTTTTGCAAATACTGGTCACACTTCCTGTCACATCTTGCGAAGCTGAAAGATCATTTTCTACACTCAAACGCATTAAAACTTACTTAAGAAACTCAACGTCCGAATCGAGATTGAATGGACTAGCTGCTCTCAATATTCACTATGATATTGATGTCAAGTCCGAAGAAGTAATACAGCGTTTATCGAATTTAAAGCGTCGTTTAGACTTTATTTTATAATTTTATTTGATATATTTTCATTATATTTTTTTTTATATATACATTTTATTATTAATATGGTAACACAAATAAAAAATACATTTATTATTAACACAATTATTTATGTTTATATCTGTTGTAATATAATTTTGGACCCCCCCCCCCCAAGGATATTTCTGGTTGCGCTACTGTTATAGAAATCATAACTACAGCGCCAAAAAATGTATTGCTATATAAAAGAATATGAGAAATGCGGCAGCCGGCTGCAGTATGGCCTCACAGGAATAAAATGTTACGGCAGCCGGCGGCCTAAAATTTTTAATTCATAACCAGATTTTTGTGGCCACCGCACAAAAATTAATGTTAAGGTAAAAAATATAGGTAGTATAATATAGTGAAATGGTGTATAATTATATTTCTAGTTTACAACTTTACTTTGAATTTCCTGGTGGCCTTTCTTCAACTAATCCATTAAATTTGGAATCACACACAGAACAACGTGCCACTACACGTATATAATATATATGCTGACCCATTTGGGTACACTTTTGCTCTGCGAAATGATAAAACACTTGTGTGTCTACTCAAAAGTGTTCAGCTATAACAGGTGCCCAAGAACACTTCGGTAAGACATAATAAGATCTTGAACACATTGGTTCAACACATTCAACACATCATTGGGCTAAGTTTGTCATTACATTTATACAATTACTTTCTATGTTTTACTATTTTACACCGTGTTACAATTTTGAAAATTTTAACTTCCTCCCATATTTGATAAAACACTATCAACTTTCGATTTTAAAATGGCAATACCTATTTTCGATAACGAAAATCTATAAACATACTAAAAAAAATAATTTTAACGTTTACAGAATTTAATTTGAGTAAGCCGTTTACGACTTATTAATGCTGAAATATTTGTTCAATTTATTGCTACTGGGCAATTTAACAACCCAATAGTAAAAACCAGAAGTCAAAACGAAATTTTATCTCAATTTAACAATACCCATAACGGTCATAATCGATAATAACAAGATAGATAAACAATACTATTAGAAAAAAAAAGTATCATATTATCACTCCCACCGGAACACCGAGTGTCAGTGAACGACTAGGAGAGCAGCACCGCGCTGCTGTATCAGCTATCAATATTATAAAAATAAAATTTTACAATTTACCATTATGGTTACACAAAATATCATTGGTTACTGATTCCTGGTATACGGTCTTATCACGTATTAGTAGATAAACGATAATAAATGCCGGTAAACTGCACGGATAATATACTGCACGGTCGAAGACAAGCGCTGTTAGCCAATCAAAAACGATTACTGATTATGACGTCAAACTAGACCCATCATTCCCGCGATGTACTCTGTGATATACAAAATATATTACAAAACACAATATAAACACATTAATTACCGAAATTATTCTCAATATTAATTTATATTTGAATCTATTTAGTACAAGGTCTTATAATTAAGCGTGTATTTTTTGAATACAAAAATTTTTTTGAAACATAATTTAAGATGACCAGTTCCAATGTAATTTAATCCACAAAAATAGGGTTTACGGAAATAATGATCTTATTCTGTAGACTCAAACAATTTTTTTTTTTTAACTAATTGAAGGTAATATTCTACAAACGCATTGAACTCTGTGTTTCAATAGTTTAATCTCAAGTTTTATATGTCTTCAAAAATAATACAATTTTTAGCTTTTTTTTCATAAATCATATTAAACAATAACACTATGATTATACTAAGTTCATGCTAAAAAGGAAAAACATTGTATGTATATATCCGTACAAAATATTTATTAGGTCAAATCATAAAATGTAAATAAATAATAAAAAAATTATGAATAATAATTACAAATACATTTAAATCCATTATAAAATAATAATACAATGTTGTTAAGAATATATTGGGAGTTTAGCGCACTCTTAATGTATTTACCTAAGTAGTAATTTTTTTCATTTTTTTTTTTTACTTCCTATCTGTATCACTGTAAGGTCTTTTCTGTGTTGTTACAATTAAGTTACTATTAAGTTGTTTTATTCTAATGTAAGTTCTTTGAAGGACAAATGATTTAATCAAATCTTCAGGCATGTCATAGCATTTTTTCTTAACAAGTTGACTGCCCTGACAATTTCACATAACTTGCCCAAATCGCCTTGAGTATCAAATATGATACACAGTCTTTTTTCCCTTTTCGTCCATGTAAATTACCACAAACTTACCAATCGTGCCTCGTGTATCACATTTGCTTCTCAACACAACTTGCCACGGTTGCCTTGAGTATCATATATGCACTCATTTATTTAGTTAAATAACTACTCCATAACACTGAGTTAATGTTAATACAACCATTGGATAAAATACTACACAATATTTGTAATTTTATGGTGTTTTGGCCTCTCTAATAACTTTATTAAATGATACTTTCTATAAATTAGAAAAATGAAAAAATTTATGAAATTTAATAATCTTTATATTTTAATATATTATAATATATATTTTAATATATTTTTCATTATAATTGTTCATAATATTAGTAAAAAAAATTAAATATTTATGCATACAAAATATAACAATTAATGTTTAAACAAATTGTCAAAATAATATAATAATTAAGTAATTCATTATTTTTTATTTATTTTGTGTGCATCAGAGAAACACGGAATACAATAAAATTTTTTGCAACTAGCACATTTAGTTTTAATTTGTCTAGTAATTCTTTGAGCATATAAACGTCCACCTTGTTCCACCATATTTTTATAACAACTAGCACAACGCCCTCTTGACTTAGTTTCTTCTAATTTGTGTTCATTTCCAGTGGGAATCTCTTCATTTTTGCTTAATAAATGTTCAATCAAGATTTCTCTAAATGTAGTAATATCTATTTTTTGTTTAATTATTTCTTCATAGATAAAGCATTGAGAACTGAAGTATTTAAAAGTAATTCAAATGCAATTTTTTTATACCATTTTAATGTTCTACTTAGTGGATTATGATATGAGTTTCGAAGATCACATACATCCACCAATGATTTACCCTTATTATAATCTAATATAAGTTTTGGTTTAATTACATCTGATCCAAATTTATTAGTTGTTTTAACCATGGCTGCAGAGTGCTTTGTAGAAATAGCTAATACATCACGCTTGTCTTTCCATTTCAATACTGTTATACCTTTATTGCATTGTTTAGCTATAACTTCTCCTCTTTTTAATTTCTTTTTTATAACTTCTGTGGGGTTGTTTTTTCTATTTGAGCGCAGAGTACCAACCAAATGAGTAGATCTTTTTAAAAGTTCAGTGGCTAAGTCATAGCTGCTATACCAATTGTCGGTGTACATTGTTCTACCCATATCCAGGTATTCTTCTGCCATTTCAGTAACAATTCTAGTTGATACTCTCTGGCCAACAACAGATTCCTTACCAGCATAAATTTTGAATCCAACAGTATAGAAATTGTCAATGCACAATTTAAATATCTTAATACCGTATCTGTGTCTTTTATTTTGTATATATTGTCTAAATAAAAGACGACCCACAAAAGGAACAATGGATTCGTCAATGCACATAGACTCTTTTGGTGTACGTGCCATTTTATATTTTGATAAAAGTAAGTCAAGTAATCCACTTACTTTAAATAAACGGTCACCAGGAGGACAGTCATCATTATTACAACAATGAAATGAGCGCAAAAGAAGTTCGAATCTTTTTCTAGTCATATATTTTGGTATATAAGATACATATATTTTACTTTTTTTCCAATATGAAGCAATTGATGGTTGGGGACACAAACCCATCCACATAATAGTACCTAAAAAGTTTTTCATTTCAACAGAAGTAACATCTACCCATGTATGTAACCGTGAGTGTGGACTGATTCTGGTTGACAATAAAGACTTCGCATATCTGTTAGTTTCTTTAACCAATAAATGTATCACATCATCGTCCAAAAATAACGAATAAAAATCATAAGGGCTACCTTCGATTAGGGTTTCAATAACATCAGGATTAATGCCCACTGGCTCATTTTTTGGGTTGAATAATACGTTCGATTGAAAGGCATCATCAACATCATTCCATAAGGGTTCTGATGCATCTTCATGACGTATTGATGAAGGAACAGTAACAGGCGTTGGTGGAATCGCAATATCAATATCATCTTCATGTTCATTACCAAGTGCAAATAGGTCATAACGATAATTTGAATCATCGCTTGAATCATTCTATAAAAAACAGTGTAAAATAATGTATAATGTACAGATAACACCTACAAATTATGTACAGTCAAAGATATACCTCTAATTGAAAATCGGGATCAGCATCCGAGTCATCATCGTCGGACCAATCCGACATATCCTGATCCAGTAACTCTGATATGTTGTTCTCATTCATAATTAATTTTTTTTTGAACAAAATTTGTGAAAAACGTTTAACTATTTTTGTGGAAATTACAAAATAGTTAAAATGATAGCGCAATAGGTTGTCCATGATAGTGATTTATTAATTTATTATTTATATAATGACTTAAAATAACCAAAACTATAAAAACAATAACACAAAAAATGTATATAAATTCCACTGGGGCCTGAGTATCAAATATGATACTCAGTTTAAATCGATTAATTTTTATCAAAAATCTAATTGTTATCATGAAATAAATAAGCGTGTGAAGAAAAATAACGATATTATTCAAAAAAGTAGTGTGACCAACTTGGTTGGACTACAATATTTCTATAGGACGAGATTCGTCTGACAAGTGAGAAGCATATACGATACTCAAGGCAAGGTTGGTATTTCCGTTAAAATGTATAGGACGAAATTGGATAGTTATTTGTGTATCATATATGATACTCAAGGCAGTCAACTTGTTAATAAGCTTTGTCAGTCTTTTGACAATATTAGCATCAGGATTAATTTTGTCTTTGTGAAACTTTTTAAACATATTTTCAAAAACCTTAGCTTTTTCAAAAGTCGCCGTTGGTTCTGTTAAACCTCCATATGATAAATGTTGTAGCCAACTTGGTGCACTATAGGAATGATCAGGTTTGTTGTCCTTAGTATAATTTCCTAAATGAGGATATTTGCTTTTAAATTTCCTAGCGAGCCAACCACAAAGATAAATAAAACCATCTTCTTGATTTGAGATGATTCACACGATGACATACTACTATCTGATACTTCATCATCATTTTCATTATTGTTTATTTTAATATCTGCAGTTGCTATAACATTTGCTACTAAGTACTCTTCTATATTTGTGTTATTGTGTTCCATTTCAATATTAAGTTTATCTTGTACAACTCCAGGATTTTTGCCAAGAACGATTATTCTTATTCTATACATTGCATTCAATGGCGTAGGATGATCATGAAGTCCTCCTCGGCTTCGAATAGTAGAAAAAAAACTTCCAAGGCTATCTTGGTTTAGCCTATGTGTAAGTATATAATCTATGTTATATTTCTGTTTCAGATCTTCAAATAATAATTTAGTCGATGTTATAGATATCAAAATTCCTTTTTGGAAAGTTTGTAGAGTGTTTTTTCCATTACATCTCATTGAAAATATTAATTCATACATTTTATCCAAACATTTATTTTGTTCTGATAGATTTAAGCCATACGCCTTCTTTGTACATAGTGTTTCAGTAGATGTATATGAGTTCATAATGTCATACCAATTACTTATTACTTCAATAAATTTTCCTGTATTTTCAGATAATATTTTATTAAATCCAGGCTTGTAATGGCATAAAGCTGTTGCGACACTATGTGATAGTAGTTGGGCTGCTAATCCCACATTTTGCCTTTCAGCCTTTACACATTCTATATGTTTTTCAGATAATTTATGACAAGTAGAAATTTCTGACTTTTTTATTTTTAATAACTCTTTTAGTGGTGTTGAGTTTACATTTGAACCATCTGAAAGAACAAAACCTGTATCTATTAGCCAATTGCGAGTGAATTTCAAAAGATGAGGTGCATCTGCAATGTAATAAATTTTATCATTTGTGGTAGGATGTAAAAAATAAGTGTTTTCAATAGATATATTTAATTTTTTCCACAAGCCTATATTAGCACCTCCACAATCAGATACATATGCAACAACTTTATATGAATTATCATTTAATATAGATATCACTTCATAAAGGATTTCTGGTGTTACTATTTGATCAAAGTTAACATAAATAGGTTGTTTCCAATTTTTAAATAAGCCTCTTACCATAATTACTTGCATTTGTCTATATTTCCCAATTAAATGATAATTTTTTTTGTCATATTCAAAAGCGGTTTGTATTTTCATTTCATCGAATTGAATGACACATATTTTTTCTAACTCATTGAAGTTAAGTGCTGCTATTTTCATTATTCTAATGACATCTAATAAAACACCTTGACGAAAGTTTAATCTTGAAGCCCATTTGACTAATGTGGAAACATGTGGAAGTGGGTAATGTAATTTATTTCTAAGATAAATATAACACCTTTTGCTTAGATATCTTATTGTAAAAGCCTTCGATATATCATCTGTTCCCCAAATAACTTTTTTTCGGTTTTTTTTAATAAGGCTTAATTGAGTCTCACTAAAAATTGATTTTAAAGCTTCTTCTAACAAATGTGTTTGGCTAGTATGTTCACAAAATTTTTGAGAAAGTGAATTGAATTTTTTATTTAACATTATTATCCGGTTTTTTTTGGCTTCTTTTTAGTTCGGCTAAATTTTTATATTTAATTTTTAATTTTTGATGCTCACTCAATAATTTTTCATACTTATCTTCAATAACAGGATGTACATCATCGGATGATTCATCTTCAATAACAGGATGTACATTTTCAGGTGATTCATCTTCAATTTTTTGAGTTGGTAGTATTAAATGTTTAACAATATTTTCATTTATGCGTTTATTTGCACGTTGTTTTCTTGATGTCACTTGTGTGGAAATATCTGAAGGACATTCTTTCAAATATTGTGTAGGAATAGCTGTAAAATATATACATATAATATAATTAATAATGATGTGTACATTATAATATATTTTAATGTATAATGAAACACTAACATGTGAAACACAACATTAATTAGCTTAGACCATTTATGTTATAATTATATTTTAGGTAAAATTACAAAAATAAATTGTATGTTAAAATAATAATGTTAATATCAAAAATCATCATTACCTTGAGGTTTTAATTTTCTTTTAGTTTTTATGTTCATCAATTGACTACGGAGATCCACTTCAAAATCATCATCTACAAAATGAATGCTACAAACTGTACTAGTTTTTGGATTCCATGTATCTTTTCGTCGACAAGCATTAATCCAAAGATTACACAATTTTTCATCTTTAGGAAATGTATGATATGAAATGTTAAGGTCCTTTTTCTTAATCACTTGCAAACTGTTGGAACACAACGCTACAGCACACCTAGTACCTGGAATCTATATCATAAATTAATAAAAGTTTTTAATGACATGATAATAATACTATAATAAAATACTATATTCCTAAAAAGATGAGTAGTTGACCCTATGTGACATAGTTGATGCTTAAGAATAAGTATTCCTTAACTTAATTTTAACAATTAAAAAATACAAAATGTGTTATAATAACTAAAAGCAATGCAAGGTAAGTCTCTATCAACCTTAGTTTAAGTAATACTTTTTCTTTTCTTAAGCCATAGTCTCGTTTATGGATAACATTTGAGTCATAAGTATAGCTTATGCGATGCCTACTTATTCTTAAGCATCGACTATGTATACAGCCCATAATACTTTGTGACACGTCACATTTATGTCACATAATAATATATTAATAAAAAATGAAATATTTACGAGATAGGTACTTACTTTGCTCGAAAATTGGGAACTGCTTGTCTGCTTAAAAAAAACATAAAACAAATACATAAGACATATTATGACACTGAATAATTATAATGATATTACAGAGGTCTATTATGACGTCACGGTAATCGAAACCACGCCCCTTTCGTGATACAATGCTTCGACCGTTTAGTATATTATCCGTGGGTAAACTGTTTCTGAAAGCATGTGGTTATTGGTTAATCGTTAATGTTAGTTTCCCACTATCAAATATGGAATATTAATTATTATTCTTTGAACGTTAAACCACAGAATACGTTTTAAGTAAATACTAAATTATGTGTATTATATAAAATATAAATTTAAAGTTCAAGCCAATTATTCCAATGCATACCTATTATATTTTTTGAAAGTGTTTTAATGTTGTATTTTGGTTAGCAAATTTGAATTTAATTAAAAATATACTTCTATCCAATCAGCAATGTTATTAATTTATTATGTATATGGGAATCAGATTTCATACTTTGCCGGCAACTTTATTTGTATAATTTAATGGTAAGTTCAATCTAAAATTAATATATTAGAATTTAATTTTTTTTATTAAATGATTTATACATACTATAAACAAATAATAAAAATGGTTCAAATATTTTAATTTTATTTCAGTGGCAATTCGTAGAATTGGTGTAATTAATCAAAAATAACAGTGAACTATATGATTAGACAACTCAATTTGGCCAGAAATTAATGCAAATTCATATTGCTTTCTACTGGTACCTATCTGATGACTATAAATTAATATGGAATAAAGGAATAAAATATAATATTTACAATTTGACATACATTTGATTACAATTCGTTATAATAGTTTACAATTTTAATATTACAGTGTAGACATTTACAATTTTTAGTGTCGTACATTATTACTATTACATATTTATTATATTAAAGTTATATATCGTGATTAGTAAGAATAAGATTAATACATAAATTATTGAATAACTAGTGTTAGTAAGAAGGAGCAATAGTCCTTTTAAAACAAAAATAGTATTGTACCTGAAATTCCAACATTAAAAGTGTAAGTGTAATATAATGTAAGTATTTCGCCTTGATTACAATAATAATTATTATCTTCCACCAATTAATTATTATACTAAATCTATATGAATAATTATTAAAATTGTCATACACATATGCAACCATAAAATTTTTTTGTTACTTAGGATAGTATATTATATAACTCTGGTCTCTAGTTTTTTCTATTATTTCTGCTAAATGTTTACATTCTCCTTTACAGTGATCATTTATAAAAAGTTCAAGATTTCTTGTTATTTTATTTAGAGTTTTATGATCATAGCGGTTATTTAATCTTTTGTTCGCTTTCAATATATGCCAATTAAAACATAGGTACTGACTGCATCTTATTTTCTTTAAAGTTATAGATATGTACTTTTGTTTTTATTATGTTTTTTAATTCCTCAATGAATCTAAAATAATATTACAAGTGTTAAATTACTTATTTACCATAACCATAAATATATATATAATTTATTTTTTAAAACTTATTTATTAACTATAATAATTCATTTATTCTGATTATAATAATTTTTTTTATATTTCTTTGCTAACTTATATAAATATATGGGTCTCATTTTTGAAACCACATAATTAAATAGACATTTTGTTAAAATTACATCGGCAACTGGATCATGACAATACGTAATATTATGATTAGTATCACGCATTAATCCATGCGCTTCTGATAGTCCTAACATTCTACCGTTTTTATTCATTTTTCCTAAATACCCTGAATATAAAACTTTTTTAGTTTCTAAATTTGTTAGTTCTAAATTAAATTCATAATTATTTTTAATACTATATGCTGATATATTTAAAAATGCTAAAATACCCTTAATTCTTAACCGTTTAATTAATGTTATATCCGTCGTTCCATTCCAGAAAACCATTATTGGATCCCTATTGTCTAAGTGCAAATATCTTTGCAAGTAAACCATTGACAAGGTTGATTCCCCCTGGTGGTTTACACTTTTGTATAATTGATCCAACAGTGGTGCAATCACGCTTGCCTTTTTCCCTCGGAATACTCGTTTGATTGTTTGCACGATTTTCTTAATATCGCATAGCCGGAATCTTCTTAACTTATCGTCTTTTGTAAGTATAAGAGGACTTCCTTCCAATTTCTTGGGCTGGTATTTTTCTAGACTATTTGAAATCGCCCCGGATACCAATAATGTTTCTTCTTTACTAGCCGTAAAGAATTCGAAATCCACTATGAAAAAACGGATCTGTGAGCTAAAATAAAATGTATTACTTAAGGTCAGTAACACTATAATAATTTAATAATATTATTATACATTTATGTTTTTATTTCTTGGAACTATATCGTTTACTGGTTTATCGCCACGCCTCTTATTATTAGTTGTTCTAACAACAAACCTAATTCTACACTAATGGGTCTGTTGTGGTCCGGTCGTTCAACCACCGTGGCACCGTGTGTACGAAGTTGCATACATGAACCATAAGAGATTGTTCTCACCAAAGCAACTTGCAACCGCAACTCGATCGTGCAACTCGTTGGGTTGCAGTCGAGTTTAAATTGCGTTGCGTTCAGTGTTCTCATTGAACCGAATTATTTACCTACTTTGCAACTGCAACTGTTTGTTTTTTATTATTATGTTGTTTAGTGAGTGTTATATCCTCTCAGTAGTCAGTTGTCTCCCAGTGTATCAGTGACCAGTGTATCTCAAGTAGTGAAGTCAGTAATTTAATATTTTTGGTAATTAAATATGTCTTCATCTGAGGATGACGTTGTTGTTGCCTATTTATACTTAAAAAAAAGAAAGAGGCAAAGAAAGAGGCGGTTTTGGATTCATCCACACTATATTAGAAATGTGTGCTACAGTACATTTATTGTTTCAAAAGAGTTGGATCAAGATCCAGAAAAATTTCATGGTTACTATCGCATGAATCCCGAAACATTTACAATCCTTGTAAATATAGTAGAAGCAAGTATAAGGAAAAGAGATACTAATTTTCGTCAAGCAGTAAGCGTTGAAGAAAGACTTCTTATTACATTAAGGTAATTATTTCAATTCAATTATAAAATCCATTTTATTTTTATGTAGTTATATAATTTATTAAAGAAAAGTCATTAAACATAAGTCATTAGTAAATTAGAAATTTTGAAATTAGAATTTTAAAAAACTAGACATTTAGATAACAAAACAATTGCTTTAAAAAAAATAAACCAGAAAAATACTTAACTAAATACTTAATTTAATAATAAAAAATCAAATTCGTTATCCTTATATGAATCAACAGTGTCATTTGGTAGTGTTGAATTGTCAGAATAAGTATTTCCTGTATCTGATGTAGATGGCGTGGATGCAGTTGGTTCTTCCAAAATTGAATCAATCACAGCCAACACTTCCCTCTTAAATCTCCTTTTTTGTGTTTGACTCATTTGTTGTACATCTGGTAATAGACTTAATAAAAACTTTTCATCGGCACTATCGTTTGGTTTATGTTTCTTGTTATTGAAATAATCGATGAAACATCTGTCCACATCAATTTCATTAATTGTTTTTTTTTTGTTACTTTTTTGATGGCCAATATTATTCAACATTTTGTTATGTATAGGTTGAGTCGGTTGAGAAGTTGATTGATCGAGAACAGGTTCTGAATTAACTGTGTGGTTACTGTTTGGAAATTCATCTTCAGTTACATCATCAAAAATATTCACATCTGACATTGGCGACATTTCTGTTTCGGGTTGTGGAGCTGTTAAATTACCTTTTTGTTGTCTTCCGCTTTTAATGAATGGCATAAGGAATTGCATAGCATCGTACAAATAATATTTTTTCGAAAAGTCAGCTTGCGATCCACTTGGTGTTTTTTTTCTTAAATGACGTAGAAACACGGTCCTTAAATTTCTCCATTTTTCCTTACAAGTCGCAACTGAAAACAATTAATATATTCAAACCTTAGGTATAAATATTTAAAATTTTATGAAAATTGTGACTTACGATTTATGATTTTTTTTAATAGCGATAATTACAAGTTAGAAATCACATAAAACAACGATTTAGCCTCAAACGATTTTTGATATTTATTTTTATTCAAAAAGTGTAAGTCGAAGAAATTTGAAACTTGTTTGAAATTTGAAATTTGTTTAGTGACATTTTCTTAACAGGAAGAAATTTTTTTTTTCAAAATATTTCGTTAATTTTTCAGCTATTTATAGGCATTTGAAATATTCTAATTTTTTTGTTATTTTTATAAATGACGATTAAAATTTTTCGGCTGAGACAAAAAACTTGAAAATGTAATGGAAGGTTGAACAAGTTTTGCTATCAATTATTAAAAAAAAATTATTTTCTTTACATATAACTTAATTATTTTATTTTTACACATGATTATTTTTTATATAATAGGTATTTGACTACTGGATCTAGCTACCGGAGTTTAACATATATTTTTATGAGGGGATTGTCTACAATAAGTGAGATAATTAAAACTACGACTGAAGGTATTTGGGAAGCACTTCAACCAAAATTTCTTCCAACGCCATCTGAAGAAAAATGGAAAAATATTGCTAATAGATACTATGAGTTATGGAATATGCCAAACTGTGTGGGTGCTATCGATGGCAAACATTTTAGAATAAAATGCCCCCCCAAATCAGGCTCAACATTTTTTAACTACAAATGTTTTTTTTCAATTGTACTTATGGCCAGTGTTGACGCAGATGGGTTGTTTACAACAGTAGACGTAGGAGAGGTAGGAAGGAATAGTGATGGTGCGGTTTTTCGAACTTCGGGATTAGGCCGTTGCTTGGAGTCAAGAACTTTAAATTTACCTTCACCAAAACCACTACCTTTAACTGATAATAATGAAAATTTTCCATTTTATTTTGTAGCTGATGAAGCATTTCCATTAAAAAATAATATTATGAGACCTTATCCCAAACGAATTTTAGACATGAAGAAACGAATATTTAATTTTAGGTTATCGAGAGCCCGTAAAAGTGTTGAATGTGCGTTTGGAATGTTGGTATCCAAATTCAGACTTTTTGAGGGTCCAATTTGTTGCAAAGAAGAAACTATAAATTCTGTAATAAGATCAGCTTGTGTATTACATAATTTTATTCGAGTACATCAAGGAATATATAGCCGTCCTCAAATGTTCTTGAATGAATCATCCGCAAATAATCGTGAACTTCAAGTTCAACCTCAACAAACAAGAGCAACTTCACAAGCCCAACAATTACGGGAAAAACTATGTGATTATTTTATGACGCCTGCCGGTGCAATTTCTTATCAATGGAATATTTAACATATTTAATATTTAACTTCAAAGATACCTATGTATTTTAGATTATTTTTTGTTTATATTTACAGTGCACTTGATTGTTTAAAACTGATTATACTTTTTTAATTAACTAATACAATAGTATATCATTTAATTATATATTATACTATATTGAAATATAATACTACATTAATTATTAAAACTAAATAATAAATTCAAAAAATTCAAAAAATACTAACCAGATTCATTAGTTTGTTTAGCTATATCTTCCCAAGCTCTTTCTTTTTTATCCGTCCTGGTATAACTTGGAGATCTTATATCATACAGACATGAATGTTGCTCGATTTGTTGAACAAAAAAAATGTTTCTCTCTTGCTCATTACTCATAATACAAATGTTAAAAATATAAATAAATAATTAATGATCGTACGGTGGTAACTAATACGCAACTGGAGAAAAACCGTGCATGTCGAGTTGCTTTCAATCGATTGCAATTAAGTTTCATGCAAGTTTGATCGCTTTTCGGTCGAGTTGCAACCAGTGGGAACATGTTCGTTAATTTGTTTGTGCTCCGTTGCGTTGCAGTTGCGTTGCAATCAAGTTGCGGTTGCAAGTTGCTTTGGTGAGAACAATCTCTAACTCTTTCCAAAACTAGTCTTGGAAAGGGGTGTGTCATGTCTTCATTCGCCCTCCTTAGGTGTCTTCTGAAACAGTGTAAGGTCACTGTTCCCCCATGATTTAATTGTGTGTGGCGTACTGTTATTAACTCTACTATAAGTTTCTGAAAGAATTCTCTTGTTTGTAGTGTATTTTGAACTGTACGAGAAGTAGGTGGTGAGTCATTTTATATTTCTTATCTATATGGGTATGTTTTAAATATTTGTTCTTCTTTTTAGTTCCTGAAATAATTAAAGTGACCAGTTATATAATTGTTACATCGTGATTACCTGTAAGTATTATTCTACGACTTATTTTAATATGCATGAATAATATTTATTTTATTACTTAGTATTTATTATTTTTATTAATATGTTACGTATTTATTTTCGTTTTGTATGAACTATATTATTTTTATTCTATATATTTATTTTATTATTAATTAAATTTAAAGTTATGGCTAGCGACTGTTTTAATATATTTTTATTCTATCTATCTTGTGTGGTAAACAATGTCTCTCTTATGTAATCGTTTGTACCTGGTGTTCTATATCTAACTATTCTACCTGGCATATCTCTTATCTGTCTATTACTAATATATTTGCATTTAATTAATATATATATGTATTGCTATTATAAGTACGAGAGACAACGATGCTAGTAATATTGTTACATATAATAAATAACTGTGTACAAATTGATGTTTTTGATTTTGTTCTCTTGAAAGTTCTTGGTTAATCATTTGTTGTACCTCGTCTAAAGATTTGGATGCGTCGTGTAAATCTGTGAATTGCATAGCTGGTCCCTTTTCCCATTTTTCATACAAATTTGTGTATATGTTCGGGTATTTTCTCCAAAATATTATTCATGTTAGTTACAGGTGTGAAGTCTTTACATTTTTTATTTTGAATTTCTTCCGCGGCAGTTAATACTGCGTCCCGTGCAAATACTTGGCAACTGATGTCTTTTATAGTTATTTCTCCTGCTTCATTTGTTTCTGTTATGAATGGATCTATTAGGTTGGTGCAACTTATTGTTAGTGTCTCTTTTCCTGCATGAATCCATGTATTTTTATTTTGCAATTTTTGGTATATGCTTCTCTTTAAATTAATTTTCTTTACCGTACATAACTCAGGATTAGAATATGTGTCAGATATTATGAAGTTTTGCACTTCGCATGGTTGGCGTTCGTTGTTATCCTGTATAGGTTGTGGTGTTTTACATATTCTGTATATTGAAGTTTCTTACATTCGTTTAATTGTTGATCTGTGTATGTAGTAAACCTTTTATAACAGTTGGTTACAGCAATATTATTGTAAGTAATGTCCATCATGTACCACCCACTAGAATTATCTTGCTTATGACTCATTGGTACTGGTGTTAACCTATATAATGCAAGTTCAGTGTCAACAATTAATGGTATTACTATATCAAATACTAATTTGTTGTCTGTATAGTAGATTCTTATTTTTGTAATTTTTTGAAATTCATTTAGTTCCCATCTCCTTGTTCCCATCGGAATAATATATATTTTCTTTATAGTTTGTTCTATTGTTTTTAATGTTGATGCTAGTTCTTGCGGTGTCATAAGACTTGGATGTATCATTCCTTCTCTAGCGGCAGTTACTATTTGTCCTAATGTTTCTGTTTCGTAGGAATATTGATTTGTAATTATTGTATATAAATTATGTATTTCATTTTTCATTAGTAAATCTAACATATCGTTTGTTTTGTTCTGTATTTTTGACATTTTTTCATATAGTTGTTGCTCCTTTTCCGTAATATTATTGTATAGTTGTTCGGTTTGATTTAATGTGTTACCAATATTTCTTATTGTTGATTTTACTACAGTAGTTTGGGTTTCCATTATATGCAATATATTAGTTCCTGATTCTTCTGTTTTTTTTATAGCTTCTTGTGTCTTTTTAGTGCATTTATCATCACATACGCCAAATAATGTATGCATGGTGTTACCTATTATGTTTATTAATCCTCTTTTCTTCCTTTGTGTATCTTCCTGTATAGTACTTCCTAGTGACATATACATTCGTTCTTTCTGTTTAGTTATTTCATTATATAAATCCGTAATTACTATTTGATATTTTCCACATAGATCT